GGGACGGGGGGTCGTGGTTCTAAAATAAGTAAAACCGGACACATGGGGGGAGGGTTTGGAACAACTTGTATAGATTATTGGCTTATTCCATTGTGGTTATTAAAACCCTACTCTTCATGATTCTGCCCCCCATGTGTGTAACATTGGACATTGATGAATTGGTCCCTGAGGGCCAGATCAGCCCTTCCTTTTATTTTCCCTTCACTTCGGGATGATAATGATAACCTAGAGCAGCTTGTCGGTACTCTTAACATATTTAATTATATCAGATAACGTAATTTTACAGGCTTTGGTAGGTTTTTTTTTTTTTTTTTTAAGTCCTCGCTTTAATCTGTTTGTTGGGCAGTTCCCCCTCCCTGTCTCTGTCAATCACAAGTTATTTGTTACGCATTAATGAATTCTCTGAACCACGTATTCCTCCCTCTGTGTGAATTCAATTATTCCTGCCACATCACGTCTTGAGTATTTCTGCTGGTTTTCTGGCCTCCCAGCACAGGCAGAAAGAAGTAGCCGAAACAAGGAGCTGCCCTTTCTGTTTTTATTCATGCGTGCGGCTTGAGCGGATTCAAATTACCCATTTATCAATTTATGTTAATTGCTGGTGAGAAGATGCCCTGCTGGTCTTTATGGTTCCCTTAGACACTTTGTAATGATAATTAGACATGCTGCTGTATGGCTTAACAGTGCCATAGTCCAGTGACGTCTGCAGACAATGGGACCAGTTAATCCATCTGTGCTTAAAATTACATCCCAACTGGAGATGGAGGGGGAAAAAAAACCCCCATAAAAATGCAGGAGGATTAGTGCCGATAAAAGAATGAGTCTCAGCTTGAAAACTCTCCTTTCATCAGTTTCTCAATTGCAGATCTGTAGTTGGTTTGCCTGTGGTAAGCCATTGGCAGTCAATTAGGTGAAATAAACTGGGAGGGTGACCTTCATTTCCTTTTAATAGCTTTTTCCTCCCTGAAATGGGGAGCTTCAGTGGATTTTCAGCTTACGTTTTATTCAAGCCGCTTTATTACACTTGACAGCTTAGCCTTGCATAAACATTCCCTCCCCTAACCTTCTCCACTCTACCTCCCTCGCCCTAAACACTGCCTCATTTACATCCCCCTTCCTCCCACCTCCCTCAACGGCAGCCTTGTTTCAGGTTTGAGCTGATATTGAACCAACCCGAAATCAATATACATAATTCAGTCTAATCATAATGTTTGTCCTGTTAGTTGCATTGTATAATGTACTTTTAATCTTTGTGCTTTGCTCTCTACAACTACTTTTGTATCTGCTGTCCAGATTTGTTGCTTTAGGTATATCAATGTTTGTGCATGCATACATGACCAGGGTTTTTTTTTTTTTCTCCCTTCATTAAATTATCTGTGGCATCGCAATAAGTCTCATGCTCAGGCATATGCTCGACTTGCTTGAAAAGAGCCTTTGTGCACCCTGCAGAATCAGAGGAGCATAAAATTGGGTTGACAATTCTGTGGACCTTTGCTCCCTTTTTCATTGAAAATGCAGTGTGTCAACCTGTCTCCCCAGAGGGGAGGAGGCATGAGGAGCCTGTCTGTTGCTACAAGCAGCAGCTGCATTGAAAGTATGCACTGCCCAGTTTGATAGCAGCTGTCAGTATTGTTGAGCAGGCTGACTTAGTAGGCAGAACAATAGAGGGGGGGCATGCTCCCGAGGAGCAGCGTCATTCACGCTGAGAAAAGAAATAGTAATTTAACGGTTTAGACACCTATTATGAGTGTGAAAGATCAGCAGTTTTATCATGCAAATAGGCCAGACATAATTCTTTCTTCAGTGTGTGGTTGAGTTTCCCAGAAAAGAAAAAACTAGTTTCTGGTAGCGTCCTAAATATTTCTGTATGTTAAATTAGGGAAGTTAAAAATTGTAACGAAAGTAACAGCGGTGAAGTTGCAAAAGTCTGTATAAGTGAAGTGTTTTAAACCTAAGGAGCAGTTTAAGGACTTAACTGACTGTGCTCCATAGACTCCAAATTAATGGTGTTTGTGTGTTCTCAGTTGTGTACATCTGCACAAGGTGCTTTTGTGGCCTGGCCACTAACTGGCAGCAGAGCAGGCATAGCAATAGCTTGGTTTGTATAAGTTTTCTGGCACACTTTATTACGGATGTTGTGATCTTTACTTACATAAGGTTTTATGATGGATGAGCATTCTATCAAAAGTCTGCTTGCTCTGAGCCAGCACCAGCGGATTGAGTTGTCTGCCTTCTAACAGGCTCGCTTTGCATGAGGTGATTGGCTAAAGGATTAGCAAGATGCTGGTTTATTTCGCTCCTTGGCTGTGGTTGCCAGCTATATCTAGGATTGTAGTGTGTGAAGCTTAAAAGGATGAGGTTAACCTCTTGAGGGTTTATTTGAGGGTTTATTTGTGAGTATCTAGTTAATCCTTGAAAAGCTTATGAATAACTAGGTTGCATGAATTGTAATATTCGAAACCTGCAACAAATATATACTTTTATATTGTTAGTATTCTAAGAAGCATTCAGCAGATGGATAAATGTATTGAATGTTCTGCTAGTTCTGTGGGGTGTCGTGCCCCCACCCCTTTTTATTCTACTTTAATTCTAGTTAAAAGTTTTACAATTGTGCAACCACTGTCTCTTGTGTGATCTGATAGTCTGCTTATCTAACCATGTAACCGAGTCCTATGGCCAGCACAGTACTGTTTAATCACAACTTAGATTTCTCTTCTCTGCCTCTTAAAATAGAGCTATGGGTGGAACTAATAAGGGCTATGAGTTTCCCGTAAATAACTTTATATATCATTGCTTTTTTTTAACTGCTGATCCTGTTTACTAGATCTGTTAACGTTCCACCTAATTTTATCAGGGTTACTGTGCCATTTTATTCTGCTGTGAAAACACATGGTGCACAAGGTAGTCTTACATAAACGTGTCATTTTAGATGGACTTGAAGTAAGCAACAAAGTCTAAGTCCAGCTAACATATTTTTTTTTTTTTTTTTAATTTAACAAACTATTTAAAAAAGGGTAACGTGTAAGCTCCCATAATGGTATACTTTCCTTTTTTCACTCAAGCAGAAACCTCTATTTTTAGGCTTAAATCTGCAGTGGCATCTGTGGGTAAAAGCAGACATTCAGAAAATGTGGTACTTCATTCACTCTGATTTATGAGAAGGGTGTGTAGAGCACCTTGAGATCTAATACAAAGAAGGTTGTTAAGCAGTGGGGTCATTTTCAGATTTGCAGTTGGGGGAATAAAACTAAAAAAACTACTCCATCAGAGCCAAATTAAGTTTACCAAGTCAACAAGTGCAAAAGTGTGCTTTTCCTTAAAGGAGAACTATGGGGTCAGTGTTTTTCCCCATAGTTCTCCTTAGGGTAACGGGAGGACACAAACTAGCGTCCTCCCGTTACCCTAAGCTCAGTATACCGCGAGCTATAGCTTGCGGTATACTGAGACGCCGGAGCGGATCCCGACGTAGATGACGGGATCCGCCCAGCTGCGTGAGGGACAGCTGGCTCTGCCTATCTAGAGGCAGTGCCAGCTGTGCTCGCCCCCTCCCCCATCCGTTCCCCCAGTCAACGATGGGAGAGGGGAATCCAGCCCTCCCCCTGTCACGGCAGAGAGCCGTGACAGGATCGAGAGGTGAGCGAACCCGGTATGTGTTCGCTCACCTCCCGATCTACTGAGCCGACCTGTGACAGTCTCATTGTCACAGGTCGGCTAGAACTATGAGGTGAGTGGAAATCACTCATCTCACAGTTCTCCTTTTTTAAACTGTTCGTTTTACAGTTGGGGGAATAAAAATAATGAAAAGCACAATTTTGCACTTATTGACTTGGTAAACTTTGGCTCTGACGGGGTAACTTTTCAAAGAACTATTGGTTTTGCAATTCTCCACGAACCAGCCGAAATCCACACAATGGGTGCCCCTGTTGGCACCCTTCTGAATAGCATCCCTTGATCAGAAGATCAAAGGAGCCAGATGGAAAATCTTTGGCGTAACAGTGCTTGCAGCCAATCAGAATACAATGGAAACAGCGGAGATTCCTTCATCCACGCTGCTTAGCGTTGATGGAGAAAATGGTACCGTGTATGGCTAGCTTGCGATGTGTGCTGCATGATGAGATGATGCGTGGACCTATATGGGTTGGACTTGATGAACTTATGTCTTTACTCAACCCCAAATACTATAACTATGAAGTGTCCCAATATGGAAGTTTTTATAGAAAATCTCTTGTAGGCTGAGGTTGCTTTTATAACTTGTTACTTGGATTGCATCATGTGTTGAGCACACAAATATCACCCCTTTTTTGAAAGACATGATCTAACTAGTGTTTTTTTCTTTCCTTTCTTTCTTGGAAATCCATCTCCTGGGTGTTTTGCGTTAACCACCACAGCAGCAGCAGTTGCAAGCTCAACATTTATCCCATAGTCATGGACCACCAGTGCCTCTCACTCCACATCCTTCAGGACTTCAGCAATCTGGCATTCCTCAATTGGGAAGCAGTGCAGGCCTTCTTGCCCTTTCTAATGCTCTAGGCGGCCAGTCTCACCTTTCCTTAAAAGATGACAAGAAACATCATGACACAGACCATCACAGAGGTGAGAGGCACGGAAAGCCCACCTAGGATGTTTTGACATTAATTCCATCATCATATGTTGCTTATTTTTCACCTTGTTTGTTTAGTTGCTACATATAGTAGATTTTTAACCCTGCAGGTTATCTCCATTATCGCATGCTCTTCAGTATTTTCTAGTACAGTTTAGAAGTATGAAATACTCAATGTAAACACCTAGTAGCATCTTTAAACAACTTTTTTTTAAATCCTCAAATCGGGGACTTCCTCAGTCCGAGTCATATGATATTTATACCTTGCTGTGACTTGTAGCTAGGTTCCATTCACTGCATTGTTGGAACCAAGACCTTCTCTTTCAGGAGCAAGGCTCCACGTTGGGCCAGAAATTAGGTCTATGTATAGTAGTCAGCTTTAGCAAAAATAAGGAGTCACACACTTACACTTTGGAACCTTTTGATCTTTAATACTAAAGAGGGCTGTTTTTTCTGCTTGAGTGTCATTTCACTATAACATATGGTTTTAGTTTGTACTTGTAGTCTTTTAGCACTGTATGTAAGTTAACCTATAGAGTGGGCATACAATTTCGAAAAGTGACGCACCTAATTTCAGTAGTCATAAAATGGCTTATAGAGGTACTTTTTGAGTTTGTGGACAATAGGCACACAGTCTTCCCTAACAACCTATACCCAGTAGCAGTGCCTGAGCATTGCCATTTGGAAAGGGCTGGGACATTAATAGGTCTACGCAAGTGCTGGCCTTCAGAAAGTCTTATTTAAATAACAGGCATATGAGCAAAGCTCTGGATGCAGCCAGGCTCCTGCATTATCGTTATGATGTGGCTACTTATAGGGCCCTATTGACTGTAGCCTATTGTATGCCCATACTACAGCTTCACTGAACTCTGTCAGTTTGTGTCCATTTTTTTTTTTTTTTTTAACATGTCAATTCCTATTTTTATTTGTCATTGTTAAAACACTTTTGAGTTGCATGCATGTATAGTTCATACTGGTGTTCTAATTTAAAAAAAAATAAACTGGATTTTCTTGACAGTCAACACCCCCCCCCTTCCCACTCCCTGAATATTTTCCATTTCACCTACTCTTCAACAGAACTCCTTTTTCACCACAAAATCTGAAATGTGTGTACTTTGCTGGTAGCGCTGATACTTGTCAAAGCTGTACAGTGTATTTATGTGTTGGGTCATTTGACACTGAACTTTTTTCACTATTTAAAGGGTTGTTATACCTGTTTGTGAACTCCGGTGACAAGAACCCATCTCTGTAAATATCTGCTTTGTCTACATGCTTGCGGAGTCTTGCTCTTCATATTCATCCGGCTGTATTTTCTGTAATACAAGTAAATGACCAGGGATTGGTTAGACCTGGGAACTCGAGCACAGAGATCTTAACCACCAAAGTACCTAAAAGACTAAAGTATATTCTGGATTATTCAACTTGACAAACTACCGGACGGAAATAGGAGTTTTGGGGGTGGCAGACACTTTTAAGAGCTGCTCAGACCTATGTTGATTTAAAAAAAATGTTGTACCATGTGTTGACCAAGGACAGTCACTTTGATGCAAACTCTTAATTGCCTACTTATATTTTACAATCGTGATAGTACAGCTCTAAACTGTTCCTCTACTGAGAGAATTTCCCTTGACCTCAGTGTTCCACAGTAGAACCTACATCTGTCCTTGAAACTAATGCATGAGAATTCGAAGCCCTGCACATAAAATAAAAATAAAATGTTACCCTGTGTCCTAGTAAGCCTTGGCGTTCTGTGACTAACATTCTAACTCTTATGTGACTCAATACTCCTAGGTGGTTTCTAATTTCTTGTATTATATTTACATTATATAAAAAAAAATACCATTTTAATTCTATAATACAATGTATTAACTGAAAACTTGGACCCTTGAGGACACAGACTTGAAAATAAATGAGGGCTCCCCCATTTCTGTATTTCACTGTAAAATGCAGAGCTGTGTGCTGCATATTGAAGGTTGGTATTGTGGTTTGTCCACTCCGATAAGATCATACTTTATTGTATCTGACCAAAAGGGCTTAAAAATAATATATTTGCACTTTAATGTGTCATTTTGTACAGTGGTTTTCTGTAATCTACCAGGCTTTCTGCACAGTTATGTAATGTGAATATTGCTTGTATTTGAAATATGCTCATTTTTATTATGGAAAATAAAATACATTTGAAAACTTTAGAGACTTGACTTCTAATTTTTTTTTTCCTTTTTATTTTTCTTTTGCTCTTGCCTGTTTGTCTGAACGGATATATGTCTGTGCGTTTCTGGGTTCTGCGTGATCAGAGAGAGAGCCAGGAACAGTAAGTAGTTTTGTTTCTTTAACATTTTCAAATTATTCATTCATCTATAATTGTAAGAGCTAAAGGGTGACTCTGCTGAATTGCTATCCCTGGAAGGATACAGGCAAGTTTGTACCCTATGCTTGCATTGGATAAACACGAGGGGGAGATCTCTGGCTCCCTAACATTACATCAATGCCAAATTGCATTTTAGGTGTTTGAACGAATTTGAGTAATTCTTATTCAAGGCTATGCATTTTCTCTCATCCATGCATATTCTTCAGTTAAAAATGCATGACAAGTTCACACCAGACAGCTTGCGATGTGATTTGCTGCATTCTCTAATGCTGGTAAAAACAAAAAATTGGAAAGATGTAAAACGATTGTTTTTGTAAAGAACTCTTTCAGCACCACCGCTGTGCATTGTAGTACATTAGTGAAAAGTATTGCCTTATGTATTTTTTGTGCATTGCGCTGCGTGGTGCAATTCAAATCCGTTGTGGAATCAGAATGGGATCCTTTGGAAACACAGATGAATATGCATGGCAGTTAATGGCACCACATTATCCATTGCCATTTGTTCTATGCTGTATACGAATCTGTTGGCACTGGGCAACCTCTGGCAAGAAGAAAATGAATACTTGATGCTCCAAAGAGGACAGCCTCACCCAACCTTAAAGTGACACTAAACTCAGGAGCCTTCAGGTGTTTTTTTTTTTTTCCATTTATTTTTTTATGAATGGGAGGCCCACACATCTAAATCCTCCATACTTGTTGTATTTCCTTGTTCACTAATTGGTCCCCGAACTGCTCTCCTCCTAAAATTCCCCCTCCCTCAGTGCCTCCATCTAGCTGGCTGCTGAGGAGGCACCCAGGCGTGTGCGTTCCCAGCTGTGCCAGCAAGTAGCTGTGTGGGTCCTTAGACACAGCGTGCGGCAGGCCATGCCCCTAGTCTCCTTCCAACAGATTGATGGCAAAAGGAGCCTATGGCTCCTCTGCCCTCAGTACCCTCCCCCACAATTGGGAAGTACCAGGAAACAGAGGATAGTTTCACTGACACAGGTAAGTGAGTGGGGGTGGCGAGGGACGCACGAAGGTACTGGGCCTTCACCTTAATGCAGAGACTGCATTAACGTAAATGCCAAGCCTTTATTACTTTAAATCTTAAAAATGCATTCAAGTACCTTTTTTTTTTTTTTTTCTTTAAATATAGAAAAAAATTTATATAAATTCTGAATTAGTGCTGATCCTTCCATCGCTCCCATGATGTACTACAATCACAATACAAGTTGGTAAACTAAACGTGAGATTGTTGGCCATCACAGGAGTGAGTTTGAAGCGATGACTATTTTACAACACGCACGGACCATGGGAAACAAAAACACCCTCCAGAAGGAAGGACAGTGTCGGCACCAATTCAGAGATGATTTGAGGATCTACTGCCGAGTGATAAACAAATATACATTTGTGCTAAGTGTAAAGCTACTATGCATTTTTAGGATTTAACTTCTGAGTTTTGTCACTTTTTAGGTGGTGTGTGTGCTTTAGTATTTTACAGTGTGACTACACTGGTTTGCTTATCAGTTATAAGGTAAATGTAGGTGAAATTCCACTCAACCCCATAAAGATTGGGAAGAGGGGGGTGGTGGGGTGGTAGAGAGCGGACAATATGTATTAGTGTATATCCAGGCAAAACTTTACACTTTTGGATAGAGTGGGAAATGGAACCTCTGTCATGGTTTTTTTTTTTTTTTTTTTTTACTGCTCTCTGGAGCTCCATTAAATAGATTTACCCTCACTTCCTGTTCTACTGTCATTGTTTTACCAGACAGGAAGTGTGGGTACCTCTCTAACCGCAAGTATGCAAATGCTTTTCTAGATTATTTCTGTCTGTGTTCTGTTTCTTTCACTTCCTGTTGCTTGAAAATGTTATTAGGAAGCCGGAAGTAAAGATAATTGGAGCCTAATGTGTTCTCATCCTTCTCCACTATCCAAAATGTGAAAAGTTGTTTTTGGCTTGACAAATTTTAAGATGCAGTTGTAAATGTGTATGAAAATGCATCCACAAGTGTTTAGCACCAACTACAAGTCCTTAGGGCATTGTAGCAAAGAGGTTTCTGTAACTTGTCCAACCCTGTCTTGGAGAAGCTTTGTCCTTGGTAAATGGCCTTTTTGAAGTGTAAAGTTTTTATTTTATTTTGGCACTGCAGGGAATTGCAGCAGTGGGTTGCACTACCCCAGGTGGCATTTGTCATTTACACACACACCTCGCTTTTACTGACATGACCTAATGAGTAGGTAGCATAGAAATGTAAATGGCTTCATCTGCTACACTGGAAGCAATTTGAGATTAATTCCCTGTTGGCTATTCATATAATGTGGTGCTTCTGTTCACAGGTTAGTACAACTTTAGTCTTGTAATGTAGGATATGCAAATATTAAATATAATGCAGGCTTAAGTTGTTGTTTTTTTTCCCCTTTTTGAAATTGGATTTTAAAAGATTTTTGCTCAATTGAGGTTTTAAAGCGTATCTAAACAAAACATGTATGTAATTGCTGCTTTCCAGTCCTATGATGTGGTGGCTGGTTTTTTTCTTTTCTTCACCTGGTGATCCTTACTGCCCTAGGTTGACAGCACTTGCCTTACTGTATGGGGACTACAGAAACCCCCCACTCTCCTTTTCACTAACAGATGGGAGGGGTTCTGTAATCTTCAGTTCACTAAAAACAATGTTATTGATGAGAGTGCAGCACAGACATAGAGAAATGGATGTTATCTGCTGACTATGGCTGAACTAATTGATAATAGTTGTCAACTATTCTCATTATCGATTTAGTTGGTTGGATCCCCTTTCTCTCGCCCCCATGCTGGAAGGGAGGGCGCAGTGGGCAGGTGCAATAGCCAGCCTGCTATCGCAATTTGAAATGGCCAATAGCGGGCTTGCTATTGCACCAGCCCACTACCTTCTGTATTTACATTCAGCTGCCGTCTGTGGAATCTTACCACTGGCAGCTGTCATTCCCTGGCTGAAGCTATTCAAGCGTCATGTGCTTACAATACATTTATAAGAAAAAATTATAAATGGTGGGAAAAAGTCATTTTCGTTTTCAGCCTGACAGTCGTTTTCAATGGCACCCCAAACACGCTTCTTACCTACACTGTGATCGCCCGCACTGGAACAAACCGTACCTGCTGAATTTATTCTGAAAAACTTTTGTAACACTTTATTTGTGTATTTATTTTAAATTTAAGGATAGTATTTTATTTTTTTAATCCGATAAATTGAAAAAATTATCGGCCAACTGATTATGAAAATCATTAGTTGATCCCGCCTGAAATCTTGTCAGCAGTAGGGATGCAACAGGTATTTTTTGCACTTCTTAAAACAGAAATAACAAAACGTTTACAGAAATATACTTAAGGTGGAAGAAAGAGGGTAAAAAAAGTTTTTTTTTTAAATGACAGAAAAGACTAGGTCTCTTCTGTCATAATGACTTTTCTGCCTGTCAGCAATTGTGTGTACTGACCCACACGTGCAGCTCCGTGCGCAAGGTCCTGTGCCGAAATGGAAGTAACTCCATTCGCAATCGTGCTCATCAGTGTCCAACAAATCAAGCGGCTGAAGATGCCAAACCCAGAAATACACCGGAGGAAGATGGAAGCATCAGTAATGGAGGAGAGGGGTGACAGCACAGCGCTAGAGAGGATCATCTGCAAGGTGTCAGGCATAATGTGCTAGTATACTGTGCATACTAACACATTATGGGGGGCCCAACATGTCTATTTTACTTTGCCAGTTTACCAGGGCTGTAACAGACCAAAAGGGACCAAATAAGAGAACTTCATTGTTTGGGTTTTCATACTCTAACAGTAGGCCATTTAACAATTCTCCTACTTAAGCTTTCTTTGTCATGTTAGCCATTGTTGGCGAGACAGAAAATCGGGGGGAATTCAAAATGTTATAGCAGACGATAACGGGCATTCTGTTCTGGTGGCATCTCCGAACAGGAAGCTAAGGAATACATTTCCAACAGACACACTGCAGAAAAGCAGGTTTTAAATGCTCTAAAACCAAAAAAAAAGTTTCTTCTATGGATTTTTGTCAGTGTAAACACAGCCAAAAAACTTTACAACTTAGTTAAAATCTTTAGTTAGCCTGTTTGCAGATTTCTCTGAACTCTATTCAATTCTATTTAGCTTGCTGGATACTAAGTTTGATTTTAATAATCATCTTGACCCCTTACAAAAGATGGTAACCATCAAACCTTGTGCCTATTTTAAGGGTTCAGTGGGCTATTGTTACATTTATATGTCCCCGTGCATGTGGAGCTCTAGCCGCTAATCTGTTCTAAAATTTAGATGTAAACTCAATCACTAAAACCTCAACAGCCACACGTTATATTTTTAAATCTGCAGCTTTCATTGAAATACATGGCAATCATGCCATGAAGGTCGTTAACACTTTTCCTGTTTTTATAGGGTGCTCTGTCCCTGTCTTCCAGTTATGCTCCTGCATTGTCGTCCTCCTAAACACTCTCCTAGTTGAGACTAGTCATGGTGGCACTGATTGCACAGCCATGATCAATTGTTATCACCAGCAGTAAACTGCACAGCAGTTGTTTGAGTGCATGCATGTACTCAGAAGGGGTTGCAAAGAGGCTGCAGAAGATCTGCATATGTGATGTGCAGACAAAGAAAACAATTTATAAAAAAAAATTTGAGTACTTAAAAAGAGAACTATGGGGTAAGTGTTTTTCTCTTTAGTTCTCTTTAGGGTCACGGGAGGACATATATACTGAGCTTTGGATCACAGGAGAAGGTTGGTATAACAGGCTATTGCCCGAGATATACTGAGAGCGCCGCAGCTTGGATGGATCCCAACAATACTGTCGCGATCCACCCAGCTGTGTGAGACTGCTTGCTCTGCCTATCTAGAGGCAGAGCCAGCTGTGCCTGCCCCCTCCCCCGTCCGTTCTGCAACTCAGCGCTGGAGGATTGGAGAAGGAGGGGGGGGGGAATCCCTGCAGGGAGCGGTAACTGACGGTCATCGCTCACTGCAGGGAGACTATCGGGAAGTGACCGAATCAGCTGCATGTTTCTGCTAGCGTCCCAATCAATGCAGCCTACATGTGACAGCTTCTTTGTCACAGGTCGGCTCTAACTGAGGATGAGTGGAAATCACTCGCCTCATAGTTCCTTTTAAGCACACCGAATGTAAAATATATATATATTATACACTATACACATACTGATTTTGTTGACTCCCTGGATCAACAGTGGGTAATTGTGGGCATAGCGTTCTGTTTAGGCTTTCCTTCTCTTAATTTTTTTCATATCTCTAGGTTGAACTCGATGGACATGTTTTTTTCAACCTGACTATGTAACTACTTGCAGCTCATTGAGACAATGCTTCATTCTTCCTGAAAAGTGATTAAATGGATGTCATAAAGCAAAGAATTGTAAAAGTTCAATGATTAGTCTAGAGAGCTATTCTAAAATGGTCTGGGCAGATTTGTTGGTACCCTTACAGCTTATAAAAAAATTGCATCATAAGTTTTCTGTATTACACATCTTCATTCCTATTTCAATGGAAAAATGTAGTCGCATACACCATGTTAGACATGGACCAGCGAAAGCCAGGGAGAGATTTCTGATCAGAAGGTAAATTATAGACCAGCAAGGCAAACTCTATAAGACCATCTCCAAGCAGCTTGATGTTCCTGTGACTACAGTTGCAAATATTTAGAAGTTTAAGGTCCATAAAGGTGTAGCTAATCTTCTTGGACGTGGCCACAAGAGACAAATCAACCCCAGAAGGATGGTGTGAATTGTAGACAGTGAGCCAAAGATATAAACTGAACTCTGAGACCAAGGTACATTTTGTGTCTGATTGCACCATCCATCACTTTGCACCATCCATCACTTTTTGAGCGACAGTGGGCTCTAAGAAATAAGACCTTGGAGGACTCCACTGTTGACAGAAAAACTTAAAACACCTTAGAATTATTAAGAGGAAAACATTGGACAATTCTAAAGTATCCTTCTATGATCTTTAGGCTGAATCCTATCCAATAGCTATAAAAAAAAAAGATGAAACATGCAGTCCGTGGAAGACCTTTAAACCTAAAACAGCTGGAGCTGTTCAAGCTCAAGAAGAGTGGGCTAAACTACCTATTAGCATATGTCTCTTGAGAGCTACAGAAATCTTTTGTTTGCAGCGACTATCTCTAAAGGTTGTGCAACAAAATATTAGGGTGAGGGTGCCATCATTTTTGTCCATGCTATTTTCATTTGTTTTTATCCAATATATTTTGTTGAATTAAAAATGTATTTTTTTTAATTAAATATGGAATAAGCAATGATGGATGCTATCATTGTCTTTTGTCAGTTTAGAGTTATTTTCATTTGATGGCAAATTGTGGGTTCTTCTCGTGGAAGGATGCCAACAAATTTGTCTGGCATCCTTGCAAAAAAGCTCACAATGTGAATGACATTTCATAAACTTTCACTAGCGGTGAACCAATCACTGATTATTTTATACACATGCCGAAGATAAAGCATCTGTAGCGAATGTCGGATTAACTGCAAAACAAAAACGAGGTATACATACACTATGGGCATATTAAGCAAAGTGTAGAGAAAAGTTAAAACCCCTGTTAGGTTTTTACTGCTGACTGTCCCAGCTGCGGCAATTCAGCATTTTGTTCTGGTAACCACTGTTCCCAAGCGGGAAAGCAATGCAAAATTTTACCGTTGCCACCTGATAGCTGTGAGGTGGGATCTTTTAATGGGGACACCTGTTTCAGTGACTG